ACATAAGCTTTAATTTAAGATATATATAAAAGTGTCAGTCTTTCCGGAACATTTTCAAAAGTTAAGTTGAAAAAGTTCTACTTTCTATACGCATTTTAAAAGGTTTGCACCCCCCCTGTATAAAGGGAAATGGTCCGATTTTAAAAAAAAGTATGTCGAATGAAAGAAGTATATATAAAGTATTTATCATTAAAGAATAAAGTTGATTCATGCATTTTTTAAAAAGTTATAGCAACATAATGTTAAAAAATGTAAAATATAATATCAAGAATTTTTTCACAAAAATAGCATATTTTTGCATACGGTAGTCATTTTCACCATGAAGACAAGTCCAGAGGTCAAATTTTTTTTTTTCAAATTAAAGTATATTACATTAGCTTTAATTTAAGGTATATATAAAATTGTCAGTCTTTCCGGAACATTTTCAAAAGTTAAGTTGAAAAAGTTAATTTTTTGTAAAAAAGTTACCATTTTGAAACCCCATCCTTTGGGCTGTTAAAGGGTCAAATGTTCACAAAAATATATAAAATGATAGGTAATTATCTAAGGTATCTATAAAAAAAAAAATTATATTGATTCGGTCATTTTTAAAAAAGTTATGGCAATTTTAAGTAAAAAAAATTGAAAAAATATCGAAAATTAGCGATTTTTAAATTTGTAATTTTTTGGGGGATTTCCCCCGTTTACGGGGAACGAGGGAATTTTTTTCAATTTTTGAGGGTAATGTCTTCGACTAGATACGATTTGTGATCTTTTGACATATTGTTCATCAAAATCGGTCCAGCGAGAGCTGAGATTGAGCGTTCACAGACACAAAAAAAAAATAAAAAAAAAAACACATCATAGTAAAATTAATACCTTCTCAGCTTCGCATCGAAGCTAAAAAAATAAAAAAAAAATAAAAAAAAAAACACATCATAGTAAAATTAATACCTTCTCAGCTTCGCATCGAAGCTAAAAATTGGTTAGTTCTTTCAAAAATTTAAATATTTAATACTAACCTGTTCAATCTTTATTATACTTCTTAACGTCTTAACATGGTTTCTGTTTGCATTGTTCATACTTTGGCCTTTGCTTTACCTTCTCACTTTTAATTGCCTTGGTAACTTAAAGCATATAATCATAGTCAACTGTATAATATTCACAGGTGCGGTCATGAAATTTTTGATTTCTATTATATTTTTGTATCAGCTATAAATTGATTTGTTATGACATTATTTGAGTATTATATTTTAACTTATTACCTAAATTTAAATCCAAATTATTGATTGATATTTAACAAAAAAATAAAAATTAATAAAAAATTATTCGATAGAAAATAAGTAAATAAAAATATTAAATATTATGATAATTTTTTATTTAAATATTACAAATGAAAAATATTTTTGTCCGCTAAAAGTATAATTTCCAGGGCAGCAATAAAGGAACCAGTTCATCCCTGAAAATTCAACAATAATTAAATCAACAACTTTCGTAATGTTAATATTTCTGTCATATTATCAAAATACATTTTTTTAAGTAAACAAGTTAATCATCAATGTTACTATGTAAAACTGTAGGACACAATCGAGAGTTATTATTTTTACAGCGATGACGCACTGACGAACTTAATCGTGACCTCGACGTCACGTAATCTTAAAAATACATTTAAAAAGCCCTCATCAAAACAAAATTACAAAAATAATTTATATTTATATTTTAAAATATTCAGCGTATTGTAAAATATTTATATTGAACACATTTAGTTAAGAAAAATATATTGATAATAAAAAACTATTATTTAAAACTTAACCCCTTATTTGTATACGATGGAACGCTTAACATATATCTATTAAAAAATATACAGCGTGATATTTTAAGAATGATAATCTCCATTTTTCAATTATAAATGATTTTTCTAAAAATGGACAAATTATAACCTTAATTATTTGTATAAATCATTTAAATATCAAGTTAATTGCAAGAAAAAATTATTTCTAAGAGTAGATTTTAGAAGTAACTTTTGAAATTTAAATAAGAATCTATTTTAATTTTTTTACTATTAAATGAAAAAGGTCTAAATAAATTTCGACTGGTCGATAACCAGTTAATATTACTTTTTGAGCATTCAAAAATGTAGAAAAAGTGAAAAGTGGGGTAGTGTTTAGCAACGCTCTATTTAAATCATAACATACAGATAAAAACTCTTCAACGTTGCGCATTTCTGTGGTTTATAACAAAAAATTACATTAACTCAAAAAGTAATAATACAGTATTAGTTATTGATCAGTCAAATTTTTATTTAAACCATTCTTCATTTAATAGTAAAAAAATAATAATAGTGTTTTATTTTAATTTCAAAAGTTACTCTTTAAATCTACCTTTGGATATAATTTTTCCCTGCAATAAATTTTATATTTACAATTATTTTTAAAAATAAACCAAATTATAATTTGTAAATTTTTATCAAAAATCATAATTTAACGAAAAATGAGGATTATCATTCCTAAAAAATCACATTGTATAAATATATTTTTTAGACAGAAGAAAAATTAACTTTAATATCTGATCGAAATTTGAATTAATTATTGTTTTATTATCCTGTGACAGGGTAATACTCCACTATTAATTCTAATATTTATTCCACATTTCAAAAGATTACTAGTTAAAAAAAGAAAAACATTTTATTTATCCTAGGTAATCCGGATAACGAATATCTGCGTGGGAATACTATACAAGTGTTTTAAGATTAACTCAAACTAGTTCGTATACATAAAGTTTAAGTAAAAATAGATATTTTTGTTATATAAGGTGATACTAAGCCTAAAAAAGTTTTGAAGCATTACAGAAGAATTGAAGGACCTCACATATGTTTTAGATTCTATTTTTCTCATGATTCACTTATTTCTAACCAATTATACATCTTTAGTTTTAATATTCCACAGGTATGATATTTATATAAAAACCACTAAAGGCGTGATTAAAAATAAAAAATAATACATCGGTGAAAAAGTGAGAGAGTTTGGACGGCTTAGTCCCTCAAAATATTTTCTTAACCTCCAAAAATTTAGAAAATTATTTTTATTGTTATATAAAAATATATTTTAAGGCGGAGTAAAAATTTTATAAGTTTACCATTAGCAAAAAAACTTATTTTTAATTTTCCGCATCTAAGTTATTAGACATGTGAAGGTTTTCCATAAAGTCGTATTTAAATGAATAAAATTAAGTATAATTAAACCAAATATACTAGTAAGTCATTTTACATAAATATTAATTCCAATAAAATTTTCGAGAAAGTATTTTAATAAATATCACAATAAAAAAACGTTGAAACACAACGAAAAAATGATGTGCGTGGTATCATAACAAGTTATATTAGGTTTATGCTATGTAGTATACATATTATGCAGTACACGTAACTTCCACTGTGATATCAATAAATAAAAAATTTTTGTGAAATATATTCCAAGCTTGCGTAAATTTATTTTAAAAAATGAATTTTCATTTCAGTTAATTTAAATTAAAGAAAACAAAACAATAACTGTTTTGTTTATATTATTATGAGACTAACCTTTTAAAGTTCTTCTAAGATGATAGTTTTTAATAAAATTACATAAATTAAAAATATATATTTCATAATTTTTAAATATTTCAATAACCTTTAAAATCAGAGCTATTAAATAAATATAAAAGTTATGATTATTATAAAACTTTTTTTCATGACTTTGTAGTTTCGATGGTTTTTAAACACATTTATAAAAAAAATCATTGAACTGTTTTTCTTTTATAATTTTTTAAGTTATTAGCATCTAAAGTAATATTTTTGTTTTGTTCCGGTACAAAACGTTAATTTTTTCAAAACCATATAATTTATTTAAAATAAAAGTTTCTTTTAATATTACTAAAAATTCTATTATGAAAAGTTTTAGATTTATTCTTAAAAATTTCATTTTTAAGAATGAAAATATTTTATTGTATTTGAAATTCATTGATTTTTTTGACAAAAATTAGATTTAGAATCGATTAATAAATATTCTTATTGTCCTAAAGTAATAACTACACTTAATATAAATATTTATATATTACTCTTTGGAATTTATAAATGTTAGTAACGATGTTACCATACACAAAATAGTATATTATATTATTTCTAACACAAAAATCAGTGCCAAAAAATCGTAGACAGAATCGCCGTTCACACAAACGTAAGCAATGTATAACTGTATGCATAAACAACATGACTGCAATCATCTAAATCTAATGAAGAATATTCCTTTAAGTAAAATATTTTTTCAAATCTCATATATTATAAAGTATCATTGATTGCGCAATTTCCTTTTCGACTTTTCCGTCTTAATGTAAACGACCCACGTACTTCACTCATTTATTAGAATTTCAACGGGATGCGACAAGGTGAATACCAGGATCATATTCACTCGAGTTGTGCGCCTATTTATAGACACTTAGTAATCGCATCTATGGAATATATTATGTTCTGAGTCTTTCAGTGACTTAGTTACCACCGTACCGTGTGCTACGCTATAAATACAATGACCGACATCAGTTTCAAGAGATTTTTCATAGTAGTAATATTTTAAAACTATAATCTCAGTGATATTCATTTTATCAAAGGAAATTCAAAACAATTTTGTTCACGAGTAAGCATATACTTTTACTTGTTTCGAGACTTTGAACTTTGCAATGTATAACAGGATTAGATTTCAAGTCATTGCACTGGGAAGTTAGAATTCTAATAATTTGGCACAAAAGTGTTTTGTATTCTGTATTAAACTTCGTAAAAGATAATATATTTAAGTTGAAATATATGTTCTTTTAATTTGACATCGTTGAAATTATTTTACCTAAAAGGGTTTGATAAAACAACGCGTTAGAGATGTAATAGGTTAATGGTGTTTCCGTGTCCTCTTATTAAAATGTGCATATTATACTTTAGTGAAATGCTTTAACATTAATAGAACTTCATACGTTTTTTAAACGCGAATAAACTTTTGTTTTAGAATTAAACTCACAAATACTACAATCAAAGCAGTACAACTGCAATATGGAGCAGTTCGAGCAACTGCTAACCTGTGCCATATGCTTGGACAGGTATCGCAACCCAAAATTATTACCATGCCAACATTCATTTTGTATGGAGCCGTGCATGGATGGTTTAGTTGACTATGTCCGAAGACAAGTAAAAATTTATATATATAACACAAAGAATATAGCTACTTAAAAATCTGTTTTTTTCTTTAGGTAAAATGTCCAGAATGTCGAGCTGAACACAGAATTCCGTACAATGGTGTTCAAGGATATCCAACAAATGTAACTTTACAGCGCTTTTTAGAATTACATATCGAGATCACAGGAGAACTTCCTGACCCCACCAGTGGTCAAGTAATGAAACGTTGCGGAGTTTGTTCAGAAAAAGCATACGTGACACCATGTGTTCATTGTGATAAAGAAGTATGTGTAGATTGCAAAGGTGCTCATATGGACATATTGAGACGGGAAATATCAAGAATAAATAATCAGGTAATTGATCTTGGAAAAGATTAAATATTTGCAATAATTTTACCTAATTTTTTATAAAAGATAGAAAGTCGACTTCAAAAAGTATTTTTAAAATATTTTTATTGAATCATAGGTAAGACGTGCTGTTCACAGATTGTCTGACATGCTAGCAGGCGTAGAGAAAAATATGTTAACTTTACAGTTAAATTGTACATCTGTATCTGAAGAAGTAGATGAAATTTATAGTAGACTAACCAAAGCACTAAAAGATCGTACAGAAAATATTCGTGGTGACATTGATCGTTATTTGACAACAGAACTAAAAAATCTTAGTAATCTTAAAGATAATCTTGAAATCGAAATTTCTAATATTCAAAGTAATTGTGATCTGGCTGATAAACATATGCAATCAGATGATGTAGAATGGGAAGATAGTGAACTAATGGACGCAAAAGAAATATTCCTTAAAACTGTAGAATTTATCAGAAACTTTGAGACAGAAATAGGAGATTACAATAGAAGAGCTAAATTTATTATGGCTCATGACCCTAATCAGTTGGTGATGCACGTTGCCGGCTATGGTGATCTTGTAATTCAAGCTCCACATCAACCATTCACCTCGAGCTCAAACACACTTCAACCTCCAGGGCCAGGACTAATGAGATCCAAAAGCGATCATCGGTTAGCTTCTCAATATCGTCAAGAAGAAAGAAACACTTACGACGCTGGAGGTGAAATAAGTGGTAGAGTATCACCACTTGGTGGTAGAAAATTCGGTGAGAGATACCCAAGTAGGTATTCTCGGGGAGACAGAAATGAATATGACGCCGATTCATCACATGATAACGAAAATAGAAGTTCTGCTCGATCTAGAATTAGGTCTCGCTTGAATAGACATGGTTTAGGTGATAATACAGATTCTGATACAGACACAAGATCTGTACGATTTTCAGAACCCAGTATAGTACATCGGGAAAGAGAACGCGTCTTAGACACGGAAGACGTTGCTAAGGGCCCATTGAGTGGTATTACTAGACTGTATGATTCACCTAGAGTGATGAAAAGATTACAAGAAAGTGAGAACAAAGAAAAGAAAGAGGTAGTTATTCCCAAAACTATAGTTCAAGTTCAACAACAAGTACATCAGTTCAAAAAACCATCTCCTCAACAAACCCCTCAGCGACAATTAAGCGAAGACGATGAAATAGCAAGAATTAAACGACAAAATAAAACAGCGTCTACATCTTCAGATAATGATCGAAAAGATAGAGTCAGTGTCATTAAACGAGAAGAGTCCCGAGATTCAAATCGTTCAAATACTCCAACGGATAATTCTCGTAAATCAGCTGTTGCTGAAAACGTAAATAAAAATTTTTGAATTATAATTAAATAATCTAAATAGGAATTTCATGAATAATATTTACAGGCTGATACAGTTGAATCATCCGAGAGCGAATCTGAAGAAGAAGTAGTAGAAACAAGAAAATCAACTTCAGTTTCTAAACCTGGATTCCCACCAACATCATCTTCATCAACAGGGTCGAGAAGATCTTCTATGACATCAGGTAAAACGAGAGGAAAACAAAATAATTAGTAAAATAACAACTAGAGCATAAATTTAATCCTTATATACGCAATAATTATTATTCAAATAAACTATAAATAATGTTGAGTATTAGTTTTAGTATATGATTATCAATAACGTTCAATTTATACTAGTTGTCTTTCTAATTATTTTTTATATAATAATTGTGGTATTAAATTTTAAGGTAATAACCAAAAAATAAAATCAACGAGGTCAGAGAGTATGGAAAGTTCTGGTTCTTCTGAAACTCCTGGAACTACCCCTCGTAAAATTTCGGGAACATCATATCCTTCGGATGAAATAAAACAATCACCAGTTGGCTCTAGATCAGGAAGTGCAACACCTCGTGCACGTTTTTCTTCTATTTCTTCAAAAAGGGATTCGTCAACACCAACGAATTCTAGAAGTCAAAGTTACAATACCTCTGGTAATTCACCAATATTTCTAACTATTACTTTTATACTTTTTCTCCTATTATTTTTTCATTTACATAGTATTATTGTATTGAGTGTGACTTAAATTTAGTTAGTTCGAATATTGATATTTGATTTTGTATTCTAATAAAAGTTTTTTTATTTATCATAAATTGACCTATGATGCATGAAAAATAAAGTTTATATTATATAAATAATACAAACTTTTACTCTAATTATAAATGATGACTATAAATAAAGTTTTTTCTTAAGTATTGAATATTTATAACTTGCAACTTATGATCCATATTTGGTAAGTTATTATCAACCATATTAAAAACATTTGTATAAGCAACTTATGAAATAATGTAATAGATTTTATGTATTTTACTTTCTTGGTTTTTTAAAATTAAGAAGATATTATGGAAATTAAAATGAAAAAAGTCATATTTTTTACAACGTCAAGATTTCATTTATTTGTTATGAGTACTATACATTGTATAGTATTGATTTTTAAATGAGATATTAACTGGAAATATTCAATATCATACCAGAGCAATTTAACAAGAACACAAAAAAACGTGAATATACAGAAAAATAATACTGTTTTTATTTTCTCTTTAATGATAAATCCTAGAAAGTTAGTTAATAGCTAAGTAGAAAGATATTTATGAGTAAATACTCATACCTATAATAAATTTGAAAAATTAAAAAAAAAACAAAAATATTTTTAACAGTTAAAAGAATGACTAATTTTTTAATATTTCATTTTTCATCACGGTTCCCACCAATGGAGAACAAATTTAGCTATTTAAGGCTTTATTCAAACCACAATAACTAGCAAATATACAGTGAAGATTTTAAAAACTATCTTTCATAGTTTATCTACCACAGAGCATAAAAATTGCCATTGCATATAATAAAGACTAAATTTTCTGTAATCGTCAAATAAAAATTTTTTTATTTTTCCAATATATTTACTTTTTATTAGCAAATGGAGAAGTTATTATTTTTCTGATAATTCGTATCACTGATTGAAGCTCTAATCATAAACAAGGGTGAGTACGTGGGGTATTATTGAAAATGTTCAAATTATTAAAAAGACAATTAAATTATACTTAATTTTAATAATTTCTTAATTTTATTTCGTCAAGAAAGTCTACACTACGATCCTTCTTGGCAAGCGCTTTTTATCTGGTTATGAACCATGGGTTTGTTAGATATTAGCTACGTATATTGGAAAAATTTTTAATAAAATAACAAAAGTTCATACGTCACTAATTAGTGTAAAAAATGATTGAAAAACAATTATTTTAATATAGTATAGCATCAAATTATCTAAATATACATTAATGTTAGAAATACAGATTATAAAAACTATAAGCAAAAAATATGAATAAAAATTGGTTGTTAAAAAAAAAACGATCTTACTTAGAAAAAAAAAACAAAAAAATATTTTCAACACCAAAAGAGCTTTTATCTGGTCTTTTCTATTATTTAATAAATTTAAGTTTTAACTATTTTAAGTATTTAGTTTTTACTGAAGATCACTCATGTAAAAATAATTTGTTAGGAGTTTATAAAATTTTAAAGCTATTGCCTAAATATTACACTATGATGATATCTACAATAAGTTAATAGTAACATATTATTTAATTAATACTATGTGTGCTACTAAAACTTAAAATTTGAATAATTTCTAACTGATTTTTTATGGCCTACATATGAAAAAACTAAAATGTAATAGTATCGGAATTTTTTTATATAAATATTATAGTTAAAATTTTAATTACAAAAAAATTAAATATTAACTTTAGGTAACAATGAAGGTTCGTCCAGAAAAGAAGAAATTGAAGATGAAGAAGAAGACGAAGACACTGATACTTCATCAGAATCGTCTGAAACTGAATCAGATGAAGATTCTGAAGATTCAAAACCCAAAACCCCAACAACTAAAGCAATGGAAAAAACAGATATTGGTCCATTATTGGCAAGAAGTGCCAACGCAAGAGATAATAACAATGGTGGTAGTGGGAACAATTCGAGAAGACCTAGTCAAGACGAATCGTACACTAGATCACGGTAAGAATATTAAATGGCTTTTGCTATTTTTTAATTATTATTAAATTTTCAAGTAAAAAATTATAAATTATTAGAAATTAAACATTTTATCTTGTTTAGGTACGGCACTGGCGGGTATAAGTCATCGTCGTCGTCGTACCAGAGTCCAAAAGAACCTGACACGACCACAAGTGGTAGTAAGTACCTGAACAGAACTACCCCACGCTTCACTAGCAGATTCTTAAAAAATAAAAGTATAGAAGAAGACCCTAGCAAATCGAGTTATAGCAGTGAGAGCAAATACAATGACAAGGGGTTATTACGCAGTAGGACCAGTACTAACCTTGATGAAGACCTATATCAGGACGATCCTGGCACTTCTCCATATTCCTCATCATATTCTAAAAACCACTATGGTTCAGACTTATCCAGAAGTCGATCCAGCCATGCTTTAAAATCTCGGGAAAACTCACCCGATAGGCCTGTAACTAATTCAGGTATTACGAAAATCGGTCAACCCAAAAATTTACGATCCCACAAAAAATTTACGAATAGCTATTTTTCGATGACTCCATAGATCATATCTTAATACATTATGATAGAATTCCTATATTTTCTAAACACCTTTGGTTATTGTAATTTCGGAATCATATTTTAGTCGTATAAATATTATGTTAATTTATAAGAGTGAATAGAGTGTGTAGACAATTTATTAATTAAAAGAAAAGTAAAAAAGCTTCAAATTATATAAAAATTGCTAAGTCAAAAATTACTTTATCATAAATTCAGATTTTAAAATATTTACGCTTTATAATTACAGGAGCTGCAGAAAAAGATGGTACTTCATTGAGCTCATGGGCGAGATATCTTAAAAATAAATATGGAAATCGGAATAAAGAAAATTCAGCAAAAGAGAACACGTCTTCTTCCTCTGCTGTTGCTTCATCTAGTACACCATCAAGCTCATCAGCAGCTAGACGCATATCCCTAGGAGTAGGATCGCGATCCAATTCAACGGTTGTCGACAGTTCAGATGACGACCAAAAAAACATGCAAAGCTCCCCCGTCTCCCGTACAATTATCGAACCAGGCAAGATAATTTGTTTGTGACAACATTTAAATATTAAAATCAAAATAATGACAAAATTTTGATGAAACAGTATAAAATATAAACTTTATACTTTTATACAGGTATGCAGGGCGTAGGTTCTACCCCTAGAGTTCAGTACCTGCAGAAAAGACAATTGTTGTTTAAAATCGGAGGCCGGGGGAGCGAGCCCGGATATTTTACATGGCCAAGAGGAGTTGCTGTCGGTCCAGACAATCTAATTGTCGTTGCAGATTCCTCTAACCATAGAGTTCAAGTACGTAATATAATATTCGTAAAAATATTCAAAGTAGAGCTTACAATTATTTTTCATGCAACACTACTAGGTGTTTGATAGTCGCGGTAGTCTATATAAAGATTTTGGATCCTATGGAAATAGCGAAGGTGAATTTGACTGTTTGGCTGGATTAGCTGTTAACCGAATAGGACAGTATATCATAGCTGACCGATACAACCATAGAATACAAGTAAATTAGATTCTTAATCATAGATCTGTATGTCATTTGATATAAAATAGCTAAAATAATAATTTTTTTTTAGGTTCTAGATCCTTCAGGGAGATTTTTAAGATCGTTCGGAAGTCAAGGTTCAAGTGACGGTCGATTCAATTATCCATGGGGAATAACTACAGATGCTCTTGGATTTATATATGTATGCGATAAAGAAAATCATAGAATTCAGGTAAAGAAAATTAATGAAATAAGATGTTTATAATTTAATTCAATAATATCAAGAGAACTATAATTTTTAAAAACGCAAACTTAACTATTTAAACAAAAGATTATTATTTCTTTGTTTAAATGTCCATTACCAACGCTAGCCTCTGTACTTCTTACTGATGTTTACTCTCAATCTATCACGTTGTGGCTAGTCAATGAAGCGCTTCGAGATTTCTTACAAACAATACGCTCACGTAGACCTGTCAACATTTTTATCTCTCTCTTCCCGTAAAATGTCAACACATAGTGTTTAACATCAACAACCTCTAAAATTGATCGAATGACTTACCATAGATATACTATGCACTTGAATGAAATGACATACAGTTGATAAATGATTTTATGAACTTAAATTGATGTTTTTACAGGTATTCCAATCAGATGGAACATTTGTAGGAAAATTCGGTTCCCAAGGTAACAAAATCGGACAGCTTGAACATCCACATTACATTGCCGTATCTAACACGAATCGAGTTATTGTTTCGGATTGCAATAACCATCGAATACAAATATTTGATGTTAACGGTAGAGTGATCAGTTCTTTCGGGTCTGAAGGATCTGAAAATGGGCAGTTTAAATTCCCAAAGTAAGTGTATTGTATATGTATTTAGATATAATATCTATAAAGTAGCTTATGATCAATTAACAACAATGAAACTGACTGTATAGAATTAGTTTTATACATTACCAATTTTGTAATTAAATTCTACTTTATACTGTAAAATAATTAAATTATTTCAGAGGAGTTGCTGTAGACGATCAAGGGTACATATTAGTAGCTGATTCGGGTAATAATCGCGTGCAAATATTCCATCCAGATTCCACTTTTCTACGAGCATTTGGCTGTTGGGGATCTGGAGACGGAGAATTCAAAGGTCTAGAAGGTGTCGCAGTCATGTCTAATGGGAACATATTAGTGTGCGATCGAGAAAATCACAGGGTTCAAGTTTTTTAATCTTAGTTAATTACAAAATTCCAGAGAATTCAAAGTGTACATAATGTACTTTTAATAGTAATTAAATTAGATCTAATATAACTTCTTCGTTCAGCTTCTCATTACCATAGAATAAATTTAAAAGAAAAAAACTATTACTATCAAGGCATTGTAATAATAATTACAATTTACTGAACTGTTTTTTATTTGTTGTTACTTATTTCGTTTTATATTTAACTGTATTATTTAAACTAAATTTAAAAATATAATATAAAACTACTTACACTTGTTTTTTTTATAATACCTAATAGTTTTAAATTAAAGTAAAATCGAATCCCCGAAAAAGTGGAACATACAACAAAATTCTGAACAAATATTATATTGTTGGGAAACAAGTCTGAAATCTGACATTAATGGATCGTAAACACAACGTAGTCATAAAATTGTCTTTGACAATCACGAAACGTCTGTAAAATCTTTAAAACTGCCTCAATACAATTTTGTTATAAAGATGACAACACGTATAATTTCATGGTAGTATATGATCGTAACTCATCTATCTGACGATTTCCATCAAATTTTAATATTAAAAACGATTTATCAGATTTTAATTAAACCAAAAACCATGGTAATAATAACTAATTTGAAAAGTAAAAATTTTTTTACAGATAGGTACGTACATTTTATTTAACACATGGTTTAAAAATAAAGTTTTAAGTATCAAAAATAAAAAAAAAACGCAAAAACTGAATATTTTAACTATATTTTCTTATAGAAATTAATTTTTTTTAGTGGCAACATAGTAAATTTAGCAAAACGTTCATGAATTTTAAGTGGACAACATATTTTGAGGGATTAAATCTTAATAAGATTTATTTTTCTCCTTTGAAAAAAGGTTTTATTAAAAATACATTTGATTTTTTTTAAATTATAGTAGAGCACTGGTAGAGCTAAAGCCTCCAAGGCCTTCCTCTCTACGCTATAGCATATAAAAATTAATGTCCTAAAATACTTTTTAAAGTGGTTAATAAAAACTTTTTATAGTTAAAAGCGTTTTAAAACCCCCTTTCAATTATATTTAACAAATTTTTTTATTATACTCATAATAACACCACATTATATTTAAGCTTTTCACTTATATAGCTTTAGTCACACAAATAAATTTAATCTATGGAATCTAATATCTATTTTAACGTTTAAATCTAAAAAAAAAATTATCACATTTTTTTATGGTAAAAATTCATACTTTATATTTTAATATAATTATAATATTGAAATTATAAAATTACAAATACTATAGTGATATACATTAAAATAGTAATCATTGAAACTCAATTACTTCAAAACTATGTTTTTTGAGTAGATTTATAGTAAAATACATTTAATATATTATATTCGAATATACGAAATATACCATGATTATTTTTTCTGAGTAAATACCTATAAATATTTTTAACACTCTAACAAAACTCGTTAATTTAAAAGTAATTTCACTTTACTATGCTTCATAAATAATAAAAAAACGGTAGCACAGTGAGGTCGTGGCACAGTATGGACATGCTATAGTTGAGACAAATATAGCTGATCTCTGATAATGATTTTAATCACTGTCATAAGAAACGCTTCAAAGCAAATCTGTAGATAGTGTTTAATTCTAAGAAATTATTGCATAATTACAAAAACAACATCAACTCCTATTTCCTAATTATATCCTGATTTGTAGTTCTTAGATTTAAAAGTATAATTTATTAATAAATATTTATTATAACAATTAAATATAGTATCTTCTTCTTCTTCCTCGCCTTAATCCCAACTACTTGAGGTCGGTAAATTAAATTAAATATAGTATGAAATTAATATTTAATAATTTACTATTGTAATTTTTACAGAGAAATAATAAAAAATGATATAGTAGTATATTTTGTTACTTCTATGAAACATGTATATAAATATAAAAAACACATCATTTTTAAAATGATACCTAAAATTAATACCTTCTCAGCTTCACATCGAAGCTAAAAAAATGTAAACAATCAAATTTTACAAAAATAAATGAAATCAATATTCAAACCAAAAGATTTTGTATATTTTGAAAGTTTTATCAATAAATCAAGCATATCTATAAAAATTTGCAACAAACCATAATATTACACCCAATTTTCTTGTTTGATTAAAATATGCATAGAAATAAAAAACATAAACCAGTTAAATTTCAGTCATAATAGTATAATAATTTCAAATTAAGTATTCAGTACCCAAAAATATATTTAAAATTAACTTCCATAAAATAATTTAGACTTTCTTTAAGTGAATATTATTCATTAATGCAATATTTAATAGAATTATATATATTTTTACTTACACAAAGTAATGTTTTTATAAAAAAAATACCAAGTATAATTAAATCTAATAAATATAAATTTAATTAATTATTAAATTGTATAACCCACTTATTTTTGTTCTTAAATGACAAACACCAGTCTTATTAATTAATTTACACATGGTGTAAATTAAGATTTTAACAAATTTGTTATTGTTTTAATTTAACATCTATTACAAACATTCATCAAATAAATACATTTTATAAATCAGTTATTAATTATATCTGATTCTCCTTATTTTCTAATTTAAAAACACAATCAGTTTCATCAATATCAACACTTTCAGAAGATATAGAATTGCTCACATTGGTATTTGAAGAATTTTGGTTTTGCTTTGTGTGTTTGATGGATGATAATTGACTATTATCAGTGTTTGACTTATCTTTAGATATATTACCATTTATTGATTGAGTTAAAGAAATGGAATTATTTTTAATTTGTGTATCATTTATACATTTTAATTGTTTTGTTTGCTGCCATTGAGGTAAACTAGGTGTACCATTAGCTGGAGGAAATTGGTTTCTAAATAAAATATTAAGTTATAATATGCTCTACAAATTATTTTAATGTATTTAAGAAAATTACCTGCTGAGTAATAAACTTTTAAGTGACTTAAGTTCTTGTTTAATAAAATCATTTTCTATTTGATTATGAGTTTGATGTTTGGATATATGATCTTCTGATTCCAAATTTTTTTTCTCCAAAAGTAACAAACATTTTTGAATTGATAGTTCAACCATTTGTAAACGTTCTTCTACTGTTGGTTTTTGTGTTCCAAAAAGCCACACTTCTATGTACTTCTAAATATCAAAAGATAAAATTAACAGTTATGAGAAAACTCAATTAAAATAATGAATTTCTAAAATGAATTAAATTACTAAAATAATGTTGAATTATACTAAATTGTGTGATACAATTTTAACAAGTTGGTTTATCATTTTTAAATAATACATTTCTATAAGAGTTAAACATGTTTTACTTTTTATTTACTCTCTCATAGTTAAATAATACATACTCGAATATAAAATTTGTAATAATATATGTGTAATGTATATGTAATGTAATTAATATTATAATAATGTGTAATGTACAAATAAACTGTTATTTAATTTTTGTAATTATATTTATTGATGATATATCTCTTTTGTAAACAGAGTATTCCACCCTGATTTACTACTTTGACTATAAAAACTAATGTCGTTAAGAGCATTATAATAATAAATATTTTCTTTGTTAGTTCACAGTATGACGTTTTATGTCAAGTTCTGTTATATAACACTAACTAAGCATATGTTAGCAAGATTGAGTAACTCGGCTCCTAACATTTACTTGCGAACTTCTATTATTATTATTTTAAACACTCCTTAACACACATCAATATTATTAATGTTTCTATTATAATTATGTACATTATACTATGTTAATTTTATCTATAAAAATTAATATTGACAAACATTTAAAAATTCACATTATACTTCAACCAAAAAATAAAAATTGATATAATTTTCAATATTTTCTTTTTTTACTTAATTTTCTTCAATTAAATAGATGTTTGGTCTTACTACAATATAATAAGATCACATGTCAAAGTCAGTAAATTTTTCTATAATACTATACATAGAGATACTGGTATATTTGTACCTAAAATTCAATGTCTAAAAACCATAACCTCTTTTAATAATAGGCTTAATATTAACTCAATAAATTAGTTTACATATTATTTTTATATTTACCCTGTTATTCTATATAGTACCATTATACCTGTTTCCAACTTATTAAATGTGTTCCCTTTCATATATCACAATACAATACTCACTTTAATCCTACATTCCTTATAAAAACTTGTACCAGTTATGGTCAAAATAATCCTTTAAATAGAATGCTAATATTGAGTAATGAGGCGAAATAAGATTTTTCCTATGATAACATTTCATCTATAAAATATTATCTCTATAATTATCTACTTCGCAGTATAAATTAACATTACTTTGTAATTCTTTATTGGTATCATTATTCCTTACCATTTTTATGTCTATATTTCATATAATTAAATAATTCATATTACATACATTAAATTAATGTCAATTGTTTTACATATTGAAAAATATCCTGTACTTGAGCTATCAATGGCATTTTACTTCAAAAGTTCTAAAAATGTCTTTAGTAACCAAAACTAACTAAAGACAAAAAATAAATAATCTAATATAGAAAAAAGTAAGAATGTTCAACAAGTAAGGATATGTGTTTCTACTATTCTCATTGTTTGTAGCAACTAACGTAATTCCTTAATTATGAACATTCTGTATACCAATTAACATACCAACAATGCAATTAGAATTTTTAGTAAGGAATATAGTTTAAAATCATTTTAATGACTTTTATTTATTTTTCTTAAAATTACTACTTATTTTAAGAAGAGAAGTAAAACATAAAAAAAAATAAGAGCCACTGGTCCATTAAATAAATAAATATTATGTGCCTCAATACAACATTTTAACCTCTCAAATTAACTGGGTAAATGACTCTTATAAGCCTTAAACTACACATAGTTAAAATTTTAAATAATATAACAAAGTACATATCAAATAATAAATTTAACATATTAAAATAAAATTTTTATTATAATTTAATTTAAATAATTTCAAACCTTATATATGTGAAAGCATATATATATAAAGGTAGATGCTAAAGCAATTGGCCCAAATAGTTTTCTAAACCATCCTTGTGTCTCATATGGTTTTTGTAAAACACCATATGAGTGTGTAGAATTATAATATGGTTGAAACTAAAAAACATAAAATGTCTATACAACATATATGGAAAAAGTAACAAAAAACATCACATACTTGATTAGAAGAATTAAATTGTTGATTTGGGAAGTTTATATCTGAAATTCTACTAAAAGCTACATTTATCTCTTGAGCAGTTAGCCCTTTTGATTTTAAAAATTGAACTTTTCTATCAGAAGGTGTGTTTCTTATTGTTTCAGCATTTAAAAACTCTATCGCTTTAGTTACCTATGAATCATTGATTCAGTTGATCATTAGTTATCTATACATGTTTAAATAATATAATGTCATATGCATAGTCAGGGTGGATCTTCAGGGCCTAAGTTACCCCTACTTTCAGAAGATCATACAGAGTGTTCAGTTAGTAAAAATCGGTTTTCTATTGTTCTCATTGTTGGTAAAAATTGATCTAATTCCTTACTTATTGAACACGCTGTATAATATTATATAAAAAAAACTAGGTGAGGGAAAATTATCATTAGTCACGCCAATTTTTTTTTTTATAATTTCGCCTATGAATAGCATAATTAAAATAAAAATTAAAAAATTAATATAAACCAGTACTGGCACTAGATATTGTAAAGCCAAATGAAAGAAAAAAGGGTCGTCTTTTTTATTTATTAAACAAGGAGGACTTCGGAAATTTTATTGGCTGCATACACTTCCACTAGCCCTGATATGAATTAATATAATACTTACATAATTTTCACGAATATCGATTGGTCTATCATTAACCTGGATAACAACAATTTAGTATTAGAAATGAGACACGCAAGATTAAGATTATACAATGTTCATATTTAACTTGCCTTATAATTATCAGTTTCATTAATATCTGTTGAATTTTTTGAAATATTTGTATTATTTTCCTGTAAAATAAATAACCATGCTAGGTAATTTTTTAATAATTTTGACTATATTAATGTAAAAATAATTATTATAATAATGAAATAGTCTTACATCACTAGAATATAATTCAATAGATGTACCATCACTGTCCATTTTTCTCCGTTTTATTTGATTAAAAAAATCAAAGTAAAACAAGGACAATGAAATATTTTCTTTAAAAATATATTTCTATATAATTTTGACAACTTTAAAAGTATCTAAAAAGAAAAAACATAATAATCATAAATATCTCGATAGAAGACTATAAAAATAAATACATTTTATAAGTTTTTATGAATCAATAATAAAATACATTTTTAGATTAATAATAAACAAAACTTAAATTATTCCTTAATATTTAATTTTAATGATAGCTCATAGGTTGATGAAAGAATATTTTATGATAAAAATTAAATATCACGCAAATTGGCTAATAATAAAATAAAATTTTGTTTAATCTCTTTAAAACGGTAAGTAGTTTTGTTTGGCAACAGTATACATTTTTATCATTATTCAAAATTATATTTTTTAAATGTCATTTCCGGATTTAAAACCAACATTATAAATCTTTATAGTAAATTGTTAGTGGTAATTTAAAGTTCCGGTTTTCATTGACAAAGGTTCTAATGTCAAATATAAGCACTAATAACCAACATAGACACTTGTGCAATCATTACCACACGCAACCCCAACAGTTCAATTATATAAGTCAACGACAGCAATCGCAACAGCAACAGCAACAGTGGCAGTGGTATGCGTCTGAAATCCGTCCGAAAATCGTCCAAGTGACCGAACATTCAGTTAGTTCTGCCTTGGCCGAAGATGGATACTATATAGGCTCTACTATTGGTCAGGGTTCGTACAGTAAAGTAAAAATGGCTTTAAAGTTGCAACCAGATCGGACAATGAAACGAGTGGCATGTAAATTGATCGACAAACGTCGCGCATCCAATGGGTCGTATATACGAAAATTCTTACCAAGAGAACTCGAAGTTTTACGTATCGTCCGACACCCTAATATAGTTAATACGCACAAGATATTCATCACGCCATCTTCTGTATACGTGTTCATGGATTACTGCGAAAAAGGCGACTTGCTCAACTATATTCAAAAAACCAGAGGTCTACCCCAATGGCAAGCACATTCTTTTTTTAAGTAAGAACGGTTTTTAAACTCAAAGAGTTCCTTAGGAACTCGGCTGCCGTGATTTATTTCAAGCACTTGTCCGATAGGACAAAATAAGAAGTACGAAACGCGCACGAAATATTTTAAAAAATAATAAAGAAAATAATGATGGCCACAAACGTGTACTTGGGTCGTAAAAGAAAATTATCTTTTTATTTCCGTAATAACGCAGAACTATAACTAAATCTATCTCAGTTTACGAGCTATTAAAAAAAGGAACACAGAACGAAGTTAAGGTTGTCTTAGTCACCAACGACGACGGATATTGTCGTTGTTCTATTTAAAATATCGATCAGATTAAATGCGCGCAGTTGGCTTATTTGAAAACACTTTTTAGTACACTTCGAGTACAGTTTTAATACAAATATTTATTACACAAATTTTTAGAGAAAAAGTTTTCTTCTCGTTGAACTAACAACTGTTATAGATTTCACGATCATTTTTATAGCTTATAGAAAACAGCGCGAATAACGATTAACAATCGGGTTGTTGTCTATCTTTACAGTCTACATGCGAGTAAAACTCTCATAAATTTTAACAGTTCCATGCGCAAAATTTCAAACAGTTTATGATTAAAGATTGAGAAAATATCTTAGAATTTAATATTATCAGCGTTGAATAATTTAATATTATGACTGAAATCATTAATAAAAACATTCATCATTTCATGATTTCTTACGTTATTTTCTTTATTTCTAAACCTCATTTTTTTGGCAATTATTCGTGTTAAAATTATTATTAAAAAATTTACTCTATTTATGCCTCGACAAATAGCTTTATTTAACCCTATTCGAAATTAATTTCTTTAATGATCAACCAAAAATGTGAATAATATGAACAATGATTTCCAACAGATTATTAATAAAAAATTAATTATTAAGAAATAAATCATAATACAGCAAATAATAAAGTACAAGCGATTTTATAACTGTTTAAGATGACATGGAATGAATGCTAGTAATAAATTTCCCGACGAGAATACCTTTTGATATATAATAAACAAAAAAACAACAGGTTATAAATATAATATTTTTCCCAAAAACGAAATTTTTTCACCGATGATATTTTAATGAAAAAGAATCTCTCAAAAATCGACGCTTGTACAATTTGTCTATTGTCTCAATATAACTATTTATTCTAAAAATACACAAATGACACAAACCACAAATGACTTTGATGGACGTTAAGGGCACTGTAAACTCCCTAAAAATACTATTGACCAAAAGTTATTACTGAAACAACTGATTGGTGATCAAATGTTTATAATAAATATTTTACAGACAATTATGTGGAGCCGTGGATTATCTACACCGGAACGATATATCGCACAGAGATATTAAATGTGAAAACGTTTTACTAGAAAGTTTACGACACATCAAGTTGACTGATTTTGGGTTCACTCGATTTTGCGTGGATGAAAGAAGCCGACAAGTGTTAAGTCAAACTTACTGCGGGAGTTCCTCTTACGCTGCACCAGAAGTATTACAAGTATGAATAATATTTGAATTTAATGCTCATAAAATATAATTGTTACACTTTATTTCGTATTTAAAAATTATTTAAATTATTAAAAAAACGTAATTTATTATCATTAGATAGTAACGTTAAGAATAATATCAATAACATTCATAATTTCTTTTATTTGGCAATATATTTAAGTCAACTTTTGAATTACGTCAGATACTAAGTCTCTAACGTTCTTCATTTTATAAATAAAATTATAAACATATACCCAAAATCTACATTTAGGATTTTAACTTAACTTTGAAAATATTAGGATAAAAAGTTAGGTAGCATACAAACTTGGTCAAAATATGCGTAACTCTGTAAAATAATTAACAAAGTTGTTAAAGAAAAATGTTTAATAGCAGTATTTTTTATTTGCAAATCCTTAAACAAATTTTAGGTAATATATTATTTTATATTGAGGGTAAGGAAGTTAATATCATTAAATAAACCGCAAATTTTAACATAGTATATCAAAATATTACAGGATTGTCACAATTTTTTGATATTGAAATTCCTTGAAATTTTAGACATTTTTCAGAAGGGAGGCAACGCAAAAAAAAAAAGGTTCTTTTAAATAAACCCAACCCTACCTAATAATACAATTTAGTGTCGTGGTTAATAGTGGTATAAAACGCTAGATAATGCACTTATTTCGTTAACTAAAGCACGAAAAATGAAGAAGTGTACTCATAGAAATAATAAAGTATTACCACAAAAATTATAAAATTTCACCTATTATATGTCATTAAATTATAATAATTCAATATTTAATTAAATTACAATCCATCTATTAATATAGCAAAATTAATATAACTATAATTAAATTTTAACAGAAATCCACTATAATAGGTGAGGACTGGCCACGAGGCCAGTACTATCTATTGAGTGATAAAGGCTGCTATGATGAGCACAATTTGGTTAAATAACTTACATAAATTTTATTTTTGACTTTTTTTTTTCTCATCATTTCTTTTCGTGGCGCGATAGAAATATTTTTTGGTGAAAACCACAGTCATTGTACCCCGGAAACCAATGGTCTTCCGTATACGGTCCTGCACTACACTGTGAAACAGTTTTGTCAAAATTCCTGGTACTATAATAAAATTCCCTAACACTCCACAGAATCATTGGTAAATAAAAAAATTCCCCTGATTTTTCCTGTTTTCCGGATTTGTGGCAAACTGTATTAGTATTACTCACTCCTTTTAAATTAAATATGTATGAATTTAAATACACTCAGAGATAGTAAGAAAAATATACCAGTTTAATTTTATTTTGACACACAAATAATTAATTTTATAAATATTTATTTATATGTTTTATGAAAGGGTATCCCATACAACCCAAAATTGTATGACGTATGGGCACTGGGTGTAGTGCTGTACATAATGCTTGGAAATGTTATGCCATATCCACATTCAGATCGAAGTAAAATTGTAGCTAACCAATTAGCTAAGAAATTATACCAACCGAGAAAATTAATTCCTCGAGAAGCACTTAAACTTATTGGGTAACATATCATTATTAAGTTAGTCAAAAAAATATGTATAAATAAGCACTAACGAATTCTAAAATATAAAAAAATGTTGATAATAGGTTACACATACTAATATTGCTTATAAATTGAATTAATTCGGCTGAAGATTTGAGATGTAAAAGCTAAAATAATTCGAAAAATAATTACTATTATTTTCAAAACGAAAATGTAAAATTTTATGTTAAATGCTTTTTCAGGAATATACTTGAGCCCGATGTCAAAAAAAGGGCAGTGTTAGGGCAAATTATGAATCATACATGGTATAAACAAAATCCACTCCACATTACCAAAGAAGAATTTAATAATGTAAAACAACATAACGTATAACATATTATACATATTATGTAACATAACTCACTAGTACAAGTAATACAGAATCTCATTTTTCATGAAAAGTCAAACAATTTTAAAGAACTGTGACTGTTGCAAAAAAAAATTCGATTCACAGTACAAAACATCTTAATTAATTTAAAAAAAATTAATTATATCGAAAAATTTAACTTTTAATTTCCTAAGTATTTTAAAATAAATTAACAAGTCTAAATTAAAAATGACTTGATATGAACTGAATACACAAATATTCTCTTAATTTAAACTTGATATTGTTTTTTTATTATTCATACACAACACGTTAAAGTATCATTAAATTTTATATATAAAAAATTTCAACAAAAATAAATGCAAATCAAAATTTTTAACAATGTCACCTGAATAAAAATTAATCAGAAATTAAAAATAATCAATTTTGATATAGGATACAAAAACTACAGTCTAGCATTCTAAATAAGTCACGTAGTAAATTAAATAAATAAGGAACGTCTTCTTCTAAAATTTAACTAATATCAATTTATTTTTTTTTTTTTAAATATCTATATACAGAAATAACTCAACTGACTAAAATTTAAAAATTATGACATTTGAATACAACCCCTTAAAAAAAACAAGAGGAACTATATTAATTTTATTTCATATAAAATGTCACAAGTTTTAATAAAAACTGATCATATGTGATAGGGGTAATATTAAAATTAAACTTTAAATAACATAGTTCCCGAAATACAATCTGCAATTTTTTAGTAATTATTTTGTGGCTTTTTGAGTTACACATTTTTAGATTAATAATATTTTTAATATACTTTTAATTTTAAACAATATTAGCCAGAAATCAATTTTTATTAATGAATTAAATAGTTTTTGTACTTCAGTAATAGTATTATAACACAATAATAATATATTATCCTTCCAATAATATTTTAACTCACTGTTGATGATTATCATACAGATAGCAATAGACAGTATAATATTCAATATACTTAAAACTTCATTTCACTTGTCCATTACACATATAGCAAATAACAACTTTAAATAATTCTGGGAGCGAGGATATTTAAATCCAGCTCACAAACAATCTTTTTTTTGTTTTTCGTACTCGCATCTACGTTTTTATTATTATAATAATTATTATTTACAAATTATTATTTATTATTATTGCTTAATTCGAAAATATCACATAGACAACTCACGATCTAGCGTTTATTATATTATTTAAATTGATTAGTGTTTTTCTCTTTTTTCTTTTCTTCATCGATTCGCCATATTTTGCACAGAAAATATCAAACAAGGTAAGTGAAAATTTTTACATTACATTACTATTTTTACACATTTAAATATATAGTATTATATCAAAATCTTTGAACATCATATCCAAAAAAAAAAATTGATATTAAACACAATCAGTAATCACCATTTCAACCTAATTTTTTTAAAAACTATATAATATTTTTATTGAATCTTTTTGAGGTTACAAAAAAATAGTTTATTATAGCTGCAACTTTATAGCAACTAAGTAATATTCATTCAAGAATTTCATTTAATAAGTTTAACTTATTAAAATACATTATATTTTCCTAATGTTAATTGGCATTCATAAACAGAAGATATGATCTAATTATTTTAATAACAAGTGAATATTTATAAACTAACTCTATTAAATTATAACTGGTTATAAGAGATTAGTTTTAGAAACATTATAAATACTATAAATATACAGATATTATCTGTATTTTGAAAGATATCTGTAATAACCATAATTGTTTGATTTATTGAATAAATTATTATTTTTGAAAAAATAACGTTTTGTGAGTTCTGTGCGCTGAATAATTAATTAGCCTAGCAATAGTACTTTGTCTATTTCTCTAGCAACAGACTTACTATTTTTACAAGAGTACAAAACGGTGAGGAAGGCAGCAATGACCCTATAGAGTCTACAAGCAAAAAAACATTTTTAAGGAATACATTAAAATTTATTAAGCATATTATAATTAAAAAAAAAAATTATATGAAGAGTGACAGAAGACAAGTCGGAAAGATAAACTTAACACACTACTTTTAATTAAAAATTCAAACTTTGATATAATATATTAATAAGTATTTCAATACTTAAAATACAAAGGGAAATCTTTTCTTTTGAATTTACCACAGACTCCAGAATTATATAAGTAGTCATATAGATTTTTTATAATTTATTACATTTTATGTCATGTATTTTTTATATGTTATTTTTAAAATGAAAACTCTATGTAGCTCAGGAAAATAATACATATAAGGTTTTTCTTCTCTCACTATCACAACTTAAATTGGATAAACAATTAAAAAAAAACACATTATACCTTTTTACACAATCAGACTACATATTTATAAAAACTACCATGAAATATTTTGTACTAATAGAGAGAAACTATATCCTATAAAGATACATGATTTTAGATAAAATGGCTATAGATAAACAAAGTTAGACAAATAATGAGCTGTAATATCTTAATTTTAAATTAAGATCATAGAAAGAAGGAAATACTAATGGATTGATTTAATATTTTATATACATTAAAATAACTTGTTATAAATGAAAAATTTTTGTTTAAAGACGCATAGTTATATGGTAATGTAGATAATGATTAATAAAAAAATAAACAAATTATTTTAAATATAAAAGTAAAAATTTATTATACAAAAACATTTATTTTTTAAATGTATAATAATATAATTTTAAAAATGTTACTAGGATAACGATACCAATCGTTGTTCTATCCCAATGTTTGGCAATTTTCAATCCTGACATGTCATAGAATCATTTTTAAGATTTTGAAAAGTAAGCTTAATTTCATTAAATTCCTAGATTTAGTTCAAAAATAAATAATTGCTTAAAATTTTAATAGTTCAACCATGATATAGTATCAAACATAGTTACAAAAAACTGGTTATTATGATTTTCAATTATTAGAACCGTTTTCCTTAGTTTTGAAAAATATAAAGAAACACAAAATTAAAATTGTAAAAAATTACAATTCTATTTGATTTCTCAACAAGATACAATTTAATGAGATAAGTACTTATATAAAATTCATGCTTAATCTAAGTTATTAATGTATATTTTATAATAAAATAAAATTTATCTATTTAAATAAATCCATAAATTATTTTTAAGAAAAATTAATTAGTGATTCATGGGAATCATTAATATTTTGTAGAAAAAATATTTTATGCAAAATTAAAATTAATAAGTTATTCTTAAAATTCAAACCACATTAATCCATTTGTCTTATCTTCTTTTTTATTTTTTTTACTCAATTCTTTTTTAAAATCCCTAAAAGTCCAAATATTTTTCTTTTCCTTTGAGATTTTTGGAGCCTTTACAAATACAGGACTTGTAACTATGTATGTTATTTGTCTTTCTAGCTTTTTATGAAGACTATTTGACTTGATTGCAGGTAATGGAGAATACTTTGGATAACAAATTTTATTTAATGAATTATTGTTTACATTTTTTTTATTACCGGATTTTGTAAAGACTTTTGGTAGTTTTTTATTATTTTCATTTATTATTTGGTCAAACCAAAAAAACATTTTAAATTATAAAAAATAAAAATTGAAAAAATTACTACACAGACTAAATTAAAAATTATTCAATAATGAATAATTATATTACCATAGTAACTGTTAAACAAATGCATGCATCATTACAAAAAAAACCTTCAAAGACAAATCAATACTGAATAAATGCAATAAATAATGTTTTATTGAGTAGTAGTAAAACACAAAATTTTATGTTTTATGATTTCTTCCATATTAAATTAGATTTAGCATAATATATTTACATTATTTTAATGCAATTTGAGGCTATTATTTATATCTAAATAAATAAAAAATTTTAACTGATAAGAAAATAAATTTTTAAAAGAAACAAAAGTTCTATAACTAAACAAAAATCAATTCACAATAACTCACAATATAGAGGTCCGGAGGATCCCTAACTTTATCATAGCCTCCCTTCAGCCACCAATAAATTATGAAAACTAAAAGTAAATATTCATAAAACTATTTTGATATATTCCTAAAATACAACTGTAAGTACGTACCTGTACAGTTAAAAATAGAAAATTTAATTAATAATTTATATTCAGTTTATAGAAAAACATTAGGGATATAAAGGGTTGCTTAACCCAATTGTACTGGGATATTTAAAAGCAGACTAATTCCCAATAACATAATTTAGGAGAAGTAATATTTTTCAATTATAAATAAGTTTGTTTTTCTCACTTAATTAAATTTACATTCTAAGATATAAAAAGACACAATGTTTTAAATTATACTAGGCTAAAAAATTTGTAAGTCAGAGCCTGTTTATATTATAATTAAAATTATATTACCATTTGTTAAAAATATTCAATTTAAATTTAATCTATTCATCAATAATAGATGTAGAACATTAAATTACAAGACATTGCATTATAATTATTATAATACATACCTTATTGTTTAAATTTCAATCGTTGTCCAATGTTCTTAACAACCATCGTAAAATCATTGATTTTATAGTATTTATTCTGATGACTAAAAATTAATTATTAATTATCAAAATCTATCAATGCTCAGGACTAATTGTGAAAATAAATTATCAAAATTGTAATAACAAATGATAAGTTTTTTCATTGTAAATCTGTTTCTTAAAAATCATGGAACAAACAGTCACTTTATCATGTAATATATTTTGTTCAGGTTTTTAAAGTTGTGTTTAACTGTGGATAATAAATCTATTTAATAACAAGCACATTATTACTTATAACTGAAGTTTTAAAAACTATTGAATTTAATCAATGTTTCTATTCGCATATTCAATTATTAATATCTGAATAACTCTCGGTCAGTTTTATCTAGGTATATAATTTTTTTGTGGTTTTTTTATATAGAATACCATTTAATTAAATTAAAACCATTTTTTTTAACCTACTTGACTTATATCTCACGCGAATATATTAACAATAATTACAATAAGACATTTGAACGAAGACTATACATTTTTTATAAGTATAAATAATTATTACAATCAGTAAAATAGTTAATTCAGTTGCAACTATATCATGAATGTTTAACTCAAACGACTAAAAAGTAAGTTATATAATTGAATTTCTTATTTATGCTTATTTTATGTCTTTGCTAAGAAAATAAATTATTATCTATGCTTTTTTTAAGTGTTTATCTAAATTAATGTCTTTCAAAAACTTAACTATTAAGTTTAGCAATATGTTATTACTAATTATCATTCAAAAATAATTGATGGTCAGAAATTTAAATGTAAAACTTATAACCAATTGAGAATATTAAAAAATTAATTATTTAACCCATAAATAAAATGAAAATAAAGAATCAGATAGTACACAATATAATTAATTATCATTACCAATCCACTTCGAATTAACTTATAATCTTATGCAAGTATCAATTTTGACTGAATGGAAAACTCAAGTAATGAAGGTTTAAAAAAGAATGCTATTGGCAATCATTATTCTCACTATTAATTATAATTAATTATAAATATTACCATTAACAATTCAGTACATAAATAAATAACAACTATAATATATCTCTAAAATTACAGGAAGACATAATTTCCAATGGAAGACATTATTTAATTTGTTCTTTATTTTGATTAATTTTGTTGGATATTTCCAAAACATATATATTTAATTTCAGTATAATCTTCTAAACCATGACTAGAACCCTCTCTTCCCAAACCAGATTCTTTAACACCTCCAAAAGCTGCTTCAGTGGATGAAATAATCCCTTCATTAACTCCTACCATACCAACTTCGAGTGCTTTTGAAACCCGCCAAACTTGAGATAAATCATTTGAGTAAAAATATCCAGCTAAGCCTCTATTAGTATTATTTGCTATTTTCAAACCTTCTTCCTCTGACTCAAAGCCTATACATACTGCTACAGGTCCAAAAATTTCTTCTGTGTAGCAAGCCATATTATCTTTTACATCCGTGATTAAGGTAGGTTCATAAAATCTTTCCCCATAATTCATAGCTTGTTTTCCTCCCACTAATATTTTTGCCCCTTTATTTTTTGCATCATTCACGATGCGGTCTACTTTTTCTACTTGACTTATATTTATCAATGGGCCTAAATTAATGCCACAATCTTTACCATTTCCCATAACTAATTTCTTCATTGCTTCCATAAGTTTATCTATAAATTTTGAGTATACTTGTTTTTGAATAAGAAATCTGTTTGCGCTAACACAAGTCTGTCCACAATTTCTAAATTTTGAAGCCATTGCTCCTGCGACTGCTTTATCTAAATCAGCATTATCAAATACAATAAAAGGAGCATTTCCTCCCAACTCTAAACCAATACGTTTTACTGTACTACTACATTGTTTATACAACAATTTTCCAACTTCTGTAGACCCAGTGAATGATATTCCATATATTCCTGGGCTTTCACACAATAATTGGCCAATTTGTGGTGTATTTTCTCTAGATGCAGTCACTACATTAAAAACACCATTGGGTATTCCAGCTTCTTGAGTAAATTTAGCTAATACTAATGCCATAATGGGCGTATTTTCAGCTGGTTTTATAACACAAGTGCATCCTGCTGCAAGAGCAGCTGAAGCTTTCCTTGTTATCATTGCAATTGGAAAATTCCAAGGTGTTATTAATCCAACTGGGCCTAATGGCTGGCGAATCATTAGAATTTCTTTGCTTTTTATAGGACTTGGGACATACTCACCATAATTTCGTCTTGCTTCTTCTGAAAACCATTCTACAAAAGAATTTCCATAAGAAACCTCGCCTAACGATTCTTGTAATGGTTTCCCTGCTTCAGCTGTAACTATTTCAGCTAAATAATCTTTATTTTTCACTAGAATATTATACCAGTTTCTTAATAAATCACTTCTTTCTTTAGCTGTGGTTGTTTTCCAACTTTGAAATGCAATATTAGCAGCATTAATGGCTATTTGTACATCCGTTGCATTTAAATCTGGTACTGTAGCAATAATTTCTCCAGTTGCTGGGTTAATAACATTGAAAGTCTTACCTGATTTTGCATTACACCAAGATCCATTTATGTAAGCTTGTGATGGCCAAGCTGATGAATGGCGATAATTGTACATTTTCAATGATGTTCTCAAAGTCCTTGTATGTAAAAAAAACATTTCTCCTTTTTAATAAGAAAATCTCAAAATTATTTTATGTTGTCAGAAGAAACAATATTTTCTAAAAATAAATATGTTATCGACCAAATAATTAAATTTTTACATAAAATTCATAAACCACGAATTCCTAATTAACTGAATACTTAACAAGTGGTTTTCACTATTCTATATAAGAGTAAACACTCGAGATGTTTACAATGATGTAGTGAAATACGGTTTTATAAATGGTTTGAAACCAATTTTTATCAATAAAGTAATATTAATGGGAAAGCGGCGGGTAGAGATTCTTTCCCCGACGAATTATCAGTGTTGCCAACAACCAACTATCTATATTTTACTCGAATTGTAGTTAGATATATCTTTAAAATTCAATATTTGTGAAAATGACCAGTATATATCTTTAAATGATTATTTCGATATCAAGAGTATATTAGGTGTTTTTTTATTAATAATTTATCAGTAGTTATGCTGTTAAAAATATTCAATATCAACAAAAACTTAGTTTCGATTTATTCGTATTACTGAATAAAGGAAGCTTCGTGCGGTGTCATTCAATTCAGCGTGACCCCTTTATTATAATTTCCTTATTAAATTCAGTAATTTATATTTTCACTGGATAAAAAATATTTATTTAATTTCTATGGTTGATATTTATATGCGTACACTGAATTTCAATCATTAAGATGTACGCATGTAGGTACATAATTAATAATTACATAATAAATAAAATTGTTATAGTATACCAAAAATAAATGTAAAATTGTCAACGTAATATTTATCTTATCGGCGCAAATATAGCAGGATATCGGAATTAGTATATGTATGAGAAAATACATAATAAACAGGGACATATTTATAGTTTTGACGCCCCAGGTAGTTATATTGTCAACCCTTTATACCCTCTATTTTAAATATTGTGGTTACAAAATAATAATGCCGCCCCTTAATTCCAAAAAAAGTTTACCGCCAGGACGATAGTACCTCCTAAATACGTCCCTTATAGTAAACATGGAGAGATTAGCTCTTTGTTATTCTGTTTGTCTAAAAACGTATTATGAAGAATAACTGATCGATTACCTTATTTAATAATACTTTGGTACCTATATAAAATTACTTTTATTTGGTTTTGAATGATGCTTATTATTACTATTGATAACTAATAAGTAGATAATCTTTAGTTTACCGTTTTTTAAATCACGCTAACGTTACAAGGTAGTAAATGTCTAGAAAGGATTATACAGACAAATTTTCGATTATAACTAGTACCCATTAAACTCTAGATTCGCACATTAAATTATACATTCGTATTTTTATTTTTATTTATTTATTTTATATATATACGAACGTAAGTCCTTAACAAATAATTTGCGCGTATGTAATTGTATCGTACGAAACGATAGAAAAATTGATTTTAATTTAAGAAATGTACTCAAATATATATATGCAATAACAGCCAAATATGTAAAAATATAAATTTGGTACCGTTCACAATTACTACTACATTTTTAAAAATCAAATGAGATCTTAAATTCTCTGTAAAAAATGAACATTTTACTTTTGCTTTGCATTTAACTATTTTTTCCCCCAAAATGTCACTTTGACACATTCAGCTTTAATTATTTATATTAAACAGGAATTATTTATAATTTTTATTTTATTCATTTTGATAGGGTCTAAATATATACAACTTTGTTGCAGGTACTTACTAAAACATAGAAATATTTTTTAGGGGAATGAACCTCCTAATCTTCCGCATAACTAGTTACAACATATTTCATAGTTATTAAGCCAATTAATAAAAAACAGTATTAGTAATATGTTCAAAATAACATAACAAAAATTTATAAACGCTTATAAATTTGTACCCAAATGATAATTTTTATTATGTATTTATAAATAAATATGATTCACGACTTTTTTGGATAAATGTACAATAGTTATCAATAACATATCACTTTTTTTACTGAAAGCAGGAGCAAACTGGGAAATTAAGAAACATCCAGTGCTTTACATATTTAAATATAATACGATGTATTATGTTCAAATATCATGTAATATCATGTGTATACCAATAATATAATGGTAACTAGTTTTAAATTCTGTTTCCTATTTCACTAGGATAGAAAGTTTATTGATTTATTAATTATTAATTAACAAATAATTAATTATGTGATTTGAAATAATAATAGAATATTTATTTTTCATACTTTAAAATGTTCTTTTCTACAAACAAAAAAGAAAAAACCAATAGTTAGACTAAATATTGATTTCTTTATAACTGAATGGAATTTGTTCTATTGGTCCAAGTCATCTCTAAATGTAAATTTGATAATACTTCTCAGATATTTTATAAAAAAAAATGTTATCAGGATTATTAGTGTTTAAAAAAAACCTATTCTCTCTTAACTGAAAAAAAAACAATGTATACAGAGTGATTTAAAGGAATAAACACTCAATTTCATTAAAACTTTTGAAAAATTAAAATTTTTATAAAGGAAAATGCTATTTGATCCAAAAAACTAATATAATTTTTGAACCCTAATGTTTTATTTTAATAACACGATAATAAAAAATCTCAAAAAATTTTATTCTTATAACTTTTTTTTATCTAATTCATTTTTTTGTTATTGTTTTTATAAGTTTTGTGATTTTGACCAATTTTCTATCTATCATTTAGTGTTTAACATGCAGTAGTGATTTATCTTAGCATTACTGGATATTATCTATCATACAATAATCTAATCTTTAATAATACACATCTATTAATACTTGCATACTATTTTACTACGCATACTACATTGATGATTGACTACTGTGGAGTAATTGTCTAATTACCATAAAAATAATTTATGGACCAGATAAATTTATTGGAACAGTTTGTTGTTTCCTCCGGTATTATTAATATTAAAATGAAATTAATGATGAATTAAATTTTAAATCCAAATCTTTAAACAATTTTAAAACGTAAACGGTTAATCATATAAAAAAAACATTGTTTGTAATTTTTTTCTATTACATAATTAAACAACAAATAGGAGTTCCGATAAAAAAAATTGAATTTTTTATCCTTGAATAAATCTTTGTAGAGTTTTTCTAATCAAATAATATTTTTCTTTACTAAAATTAAAAATCTTCAATAGTTTACGAAATGTTTCGAAATGAATCACTCATTATATGGGGTAATTGATTAACTATTTCTCACTTTATATCTTCTAAAATACAAAATAATGTACTATTTTTTCTTTTCAAAAGCTTATAAAACTATATAGATTTCTAATTAACGAAATAATTGTTCTCTTACCTCCTAACAGATATTCACTTGTGCTTTTAAAAATAACAACTTAAATATTTATCTGTTACACACAGTAGCACAACCAAAAAATAATTTCTGAAAGAAGAGTTATTACGGTTATTTTTTTAATCACCAACAATTTTTTTACGAAAACAAATAAACCAAATAATAGGTTATAACGTCTAAAAAACTTAATTATCACTAATAATTTGTAGGGGGTTGTACCCCCTAACCACCTCTGGTTGCACCACTGAATACACATCAAAGAAATTAATCTAATTAAGACAAACTAGATAATCAAACCCACAGCTCGCCTCCATTGTTAATTATATTTTGCTCTCTAGTAATTTTTTTTTCGAGTTATATCACTATTCTTATCGATCATTAAATTATTTTTAATTGATATATTATATAATTTAAATAATCTGATAATTATATTATCTACACAAAATTAAAAATGTGACACAGTTAAGATAGAGATTTCTATGTTACTTCGTGATATTGTGATTATGCGTGAAAAAGGGATTAGTCAATACTTTTCAGTAATGTTTTTTTTTTATACTAGAAACGCAAAAAATTTTATTTTTTGATATTTAAAAAAAATCTAATATATAATTTTTAACAAAGTAATTTTGCGATTACTCATGAAAGGGGAGATAAATCGACTTATCCTCAAGATGCATTATCTTCTAATTATATAATAGATTCTTTATGTTCAAAGAAAATAACACAGTCTAAAATTGCGTAGTGTATAAAATATAATGTATATCAAGAAAAATATTTATTGTCACGTGTAAAAATAGGTATTTTTTATTTATCGACTTATCCTTAATATGCCTTAAAAATTAAATTATTTTGTTAAAAATTGTAAATTTAATTTTATTTAATTACAAATAAAAATAAAAATGTTAAGGTGTATGGCATTCCAAAAAAAATTATAATCGCGATCTATGTGTGTAAAACCTCATAAGCATCTATACAACTGATCACACAATGAATATTGGTATTTGAATTAAATTTCCTTTGAGCATTTTAAATTTACTATCTCTCTTTTTCCTGCAGAATAATACGATTTGTAAGATTTAGTCATTGTATTTTACAAGAAAAACTATTTTTAAATCGATATTAATTCAAGTAATATTTTTATATTTCACTATTTTTTATTATTAAAAAATGTGGTATACCCTTGCAATTGTATATTGAAATACCAATAAATCCGTAAATATAAGACAGCCTTAGATAACCAATTGCTTAATCCACAAATAATTTTTTTCTTTGGATATTTAAAAAAGTATAGTTTGTTACCAAAGAAAAATATAAGTTTATCTAATTATTCGAAATATTACAAATTATTTATCATCTATATCACAAATTTATTTTAAATAAATAAAGTATTAATAATAGTATTTAAATTTTATGAATTATTAGCTAATGATGATAGCTATTATAACACAAACCCAACCAACATTAAATAATTTAACTACTTATTGTTGTAAATTGTGCCTCAACTATAATCTTGTCAAGTATAATAAAAGTACATTTTATTTTTTTGAAATATTCCAAATAAGTAATAACCTATCATGTCTAACTATTGTAAAAAAGAATGTTCTTTACAATGTAACTAATCGATTATACCTATAATGAATATTCTAACAATAAATTCACTACTTAATTTTATAATTACTTTATGGCTTATATTTTTAAATCTTTTTTACAGAAATAGAAATGTTGACGAAATTGCTAAACTGTTATTCATTATATATTGCTGGTAAATTTGATTGAATTTAATCTTAAACATATTAAATGTGGTAATATATTGTTTTATCATCTTTAGATTATCCAAGTATAATATCAGATGTATTAAAGGAGAAACCGATTTCTACAACATTGCTACCAATAATAACTATTATTTTTATTTACTACATTTATACTTACGTGCGAAAATTCTATCCTATCACTGTTAACTGTTGGTTTTGTAATTCCAACTTCAGTGTTCCTTATGAAAACAAATCAGAGTTTACTTGCTCACAATGTGGACAGTTCAATGGATTTAAAGATGTAAGTATTAAAAAATTCAAATTTTTTAGTTTTATAAAATTAAAAAATGTTAGCTATAATGAGATATATATGGCCACCTCAACACCACCTATGGTTTTTTTTTATTAAACTTTTAAATTACTTATTTCATAAATTCTTCTTCAGTCACAACTAAAAATAATAAAATGTGATATTATCTTAAAATAATATTTTTGATCATCAGTGTAATACTGATAATAGAGGGTACCTTTTTCCTAATAAGAAATTTATTTTTTAACTCTACAGAATATTTTCTTTAACTATAAACTAATTTTATTAATTTTATTATTAAATAATTTTGAATAAATAATCAATTATTAGATTAATGAAATCATAGTTTTCTTATATTTTTACTTTTTATTATAAATATGAAATATTTTAATTTAACTTGTATTCTTATTTAAAGAAATGAACTTAAATTAGTTTTCTACAATATTAAATTACATATTGTACATCATCTTTTTTATCAACTTGATTTAATAAAATCTTTTACTGAAATTATTAAATAAATTTTGATAAATATTAGGATGGAAGCTATAGTAAAGAAATTCTTGAACAACATGATGAAATACTCAATAATGACCATTTTGTTGTCTCTCAAAATAATACAAAAGAAAACAAAAACGGACTATGCAATAGATGTAATATTATTCAAGAAATAAAAATCAAGCAGCTGGCATCTTTTACACCTTCTAAAGAAAAATACTTTGACAAAGAAATAGACGCATTTAAGTAATTATTAAAATGATTAAAAATGTTGTTTTCAAAAAATTAATAATAATTTTAATAATATGTACATTTTATTACTACTAATTTCAGGAATAATCTAGAAAAAACTTTAAAATTGTGTCATAAATGTGACTTATACACCAAAAAAATTCTTTTTATACAACAACAACGTTATAGTTTAAAACAAATTTCAAATAGATTTCAAACAGTAATAAGTCATTATTTTTCATTGATTATTGAATTATTTACTAAATAAAATTTTTTTTTTTTAGTTGACATATAATTCATTGAAATGGCCACTTATAAGTTCAATATGTCTCTCTATTTTAAATGTATTATTTATATTTCACATTGAAAATGATCTAGGTACTAAATTTTTCAAATATTTAAGTTTGACTTTTCTAAATAACAATATTATAACTACTGATCAATTGATAATAATTACATGCATATTTGGTTCTACATTACTTATATATCAAAATTTCATGGAATTGGAAATATTAAATTTAATAACTATGTTTTGTTGGTTCTTATTAACAATAGTTAATATTTTTCATATTTTTGAAGATTATGCTATTAAAGTAAGAACTATTTTTGATATTTAATACTATGTACTGTGTTATATAATGTTTTCTTGTATTTTAGCTTGTACTTATAACTTTTGATATATTAATACCTACTTATACTTTAATGATATCTTTTACGACAAAAAGAAATGATTCTACCAACATTAAAATTATTGATCAAAACTGTTCATCATCTCCATTTGATACAAGGTAATAAAAATCTGAAATATATAAATATTTTACTTAATGTGAAACAAACTTATTCAAAATATATTTAAAAAATCCTTTATTTATTTGGGCATTTTTATACTCCACTCAAGTAGATCAATACATATATTAATAAAAGCATTATTATAATGTAGCTTAATTATAAAATGAGCTATCTAGTACCAATTTGATTTTTACCATAATAATCATTTTAATAGAAAAGATATCTCACCAAAATCATATCTTTGGGAAAACCATTATCAACCTGGGTCAAGTAATGAATTTATTGTACGTCTCCCAAGATTCAAAGTGGCCCATGTACTTAACAAAAAAATTTTTCTTGAAGCTATTTCAAAACCAATTCAATATACAACAAGAGATGAGTATGATAACATTTTAGAAGCCCAAAATTTGATCTCGCAAAAAAAAAATGGTATGTTTACTTTAAGTTCTGAAAAAAATGTTCAAGTATTTAAAAATTCTATGTTTTACGTGTATTAATGTATTTATTACGATTTATAATTATAATTGTGTTATACTTCTTAAAATTTACATTCCAAAATCATAATTTTTTCTGCTAATAATTTTTATTGAAAATAAGTTTGTTTCACTAATAAATAAAATAATTTTATAAATCTTCAAAAAAATTTTACTTGTTGATACATTGTATTATTGTTATTTTTAGTGAAAATGAATCCCTTAAAAATTGTGATACCTCAGAAATGATGGAAGTAGATTATGATACTCCTACTAAAAAAGGATTAGAAAATAAGCAAGTTAATAATTTATTCCGTAGTATGAAACTCAATGATTACAACAGCCAAAAAAGTTTTATTAAACCACCAAAACTATTTGCTTCAAATAATCGAAACAAACTTTCTGAATATACTTTCCCTTCATCTGGATTTTATCCAACTTACTCTACAAAAAGTGATTATGAATTTGACACTAGAAGCTTATATTCTCAACACAGTTGTCATTCCATATGCTCGCCTTATTACCATCAGGCTGTTACACCTTATCATTACTATCCCTCTCCACAGCAAAGTCCCTTAAATTTATCACAATCTTCTAATATTTCCAATGTACAATATGGATCTGAATGGCTCAAAATGATTATGTACTCTATTCCCGGTGTCATATTACTTATATTACATTGTTATTTACTATATGACTTAAAAGACTTAATAAAACAAAAGTGAGACTATTTTTAAATTTGTAAATATTCTATGTAATGAAAATTATTTTTATTTATTTAATTAAAATTATTAGAATTTGTAATTGTATTGGTTATAATTTATAACTGTAATAATAGATTTACTTTGTATTTAGAACTTTGTGTAGTTTATGCTCTTATTTAATAAAATTTGTGATTGTAAATAGTATTGTAAAACATAATTAATTTAACTTTTATAGTTTATATGCGAAATATTATGTTTTAAATGTTAATTGAGATAATTAAGCATTATGATTTAATATGATAACACCTTGTTTTATTTTTATTAATTGATTTTTTTTTCTACTGAAAAATGAGGTCTTCGAATTTAAAAAATTGTAATTTTCTTACTTCATAGTAGAAAAAATGTGTTACGGAGTAATACAGTCACTGGCAGTACCCCAGTCTTTGGCAATTTTTATATTTAATATGTCGTAAACTCTATGATGTAGAATCTTTTTAAGGTTCTGAAAAGTAAACTTTTGTTTCTTATTAAGTTTTATAGTTAATTCAGAAGACAAAATATTATCTAAAACTTAAATAAATTATTTTTCAAACATTAAAATAGATTACTAAAACTAGTTAGTGTGGTGCAAATGTCTAATTCTGTTACACTAGTCCTCTTTTTTCTTATGAACTTACAAACTTACAAGGTTTTTAATATATTCTTTTTCAGGAAAAGGTTTACTCAAGTAGTTTGATCTTAGTGTGGACAAGACTTTACATTCGCACATAATGTGAAATGAGTTTTCCTATTCTACTCCACACTTCACGCACAATAGTGATTCCGATACTCCCATTGCGTAAAGATGTTTAAGCAAGTGACCATGTCCTATCAGTAGACCAATCAAAGTGCTTATTTGTTGTCTAGTCATGCTATTAAGATCACCCAGCAGTAGACCTGATGAAAATTTTAGATTGTCTGGGTACTACCAAGTACTTCCAGATTTTCCTGTGTTGTTGTCTGCACCAATTATTGCGCAGTGCTTTAAGCAATTGCTCAGCAAGTCCTACTACTGGTTCTGATCCTATAGATATTCTCTGCTCCTTTCCTGGTTAGAAAGTTAGCATTTTCATTTCCAGTGACACCGTCGTATCCTGGTACCCACGCTAGTGTAACTTTGTTGAACCTCGATAGTGATTCTAAAGTTTCCCTGCATTTGAAGACAAGTTTTGAATTCACCTGGTCATTACAGAGTGCTTTCAAAGCCGCTTGACTGTCATTTTTTGTAGTTATAGAAAGAAAAAAAGATAGTATCTTTCTTTTCTTGTATACCAGCAGGTTCTGAGCCCCTACCAGTATCGCCATCGCCTCTGCTTGGAAAACAGAGTGTGTTGTGCCATACTGACATTTATTCATGGCTTTAGACACCAAATGCTAGCACCTACCTTTCCTGATTTTTTGGATCCATCTGTATATATTACAAATCCTCCTTTTCAATCAGGCGGTTAATATTCTATTCTCTACCTGTAGTGATTTCCACTTTGTAGGAAATGTTATTCTTAAGAACCGGTTTGATATAGTCCAAGGAGTAGAGTACCATGACTGTCTAGTCCTGTTCTTCTAGTGAACATAACGACCTCTGATTTATTTGGTTTACCAGATAAATATACTTCCAACACCATATATGTATAGTGTTTAGTCTTTATTGTGCTAAGTCTATGATAGTGTCTGGGAAATTACCCACCACTGCTATAACTAAATCATCAGCATAGGCTTGTGTATAACAGTATTTGTTTTACTCGTAAAACTCCGCCTTGTGGGCATCCCTGTTTAACACTCTTAATTACTTTGGTTTGATTGAGCTGTCCCAAAATAGAGTGTTCCTTAATCATAGTTTCTATCCACTTAGTAATAAGTGGTTCTATTCCATATTGTTGTGCAAATTCACACATAGCACCGAAGGGAGTATTGTCAAAAGCCCCCTTGATATCCAAGAACACACCTACTGCATACATTTTATTCTCAACAGCTTTCCCTATCTTAGTGATTAAGCAGTGTAAGAGCTGTATCAGTAGATTTCTCCGTTTGATATTCATGTTGGTTTTCATGTAAAGGGTTTTCCTTTAGAACCCCCTTCTTAATGTACCTATTAATAAGTTTCTCCATAATCAGAGTCAGGAAAATTTGTGTTTATCAAATGTGATAATGTTTTATTATCGTTATTGGTGAACATGCCGTCTGGCAGTAGTATTGCCTCGACAGTTTTGTTTGGTCCATTCCTTAGTGATCACAGAAGTCTAGTTGCTCTAGGGAATTGTAATATATCCCCACAGAACTTCTTCCAGATTTCTCTTTTGGACTTTTTCAATGTAGATTAGTAGTTGCTTTGGGTGTCCTTATAGGATTCCCAGTGTTGTTTCAAACCTGATTTTATTGCTTTATTTAAGATCTTACGTGAACTCTTTCTTAACTTATATAGGTTTGCATTTCACCAAACTACATCCTGTCCTGTACCTTTCTTTTCTATTAAAAGACAGTTTTCTTTGTAAGCCGAGACAATAGAGTCATGTAGTATATTTACAGCCCTTTCAGTACTCTGTCTCGACTGTAGATTATTCAGGTCATGAGAAAGATATGCCCTGTAGTTGTCCCAGTTTTTTCTTTTCGGGTTCCTATAGTACTCCGTCTCAATTTTGATAATTTCCAAAATGAATCGTAAATACCTATGATCAGAAAGAGAAGGTTCGGAGGACACTTTCCACCCTTTTATCTTTTGAAGTAACCCTTTTGAGAAAACTGTCAGATCAATAACTTCTTGCCTGTTTCTGATTACATAGATAGGTTCGCTACCTCTATTCAGTATACTGAGGTCTGCAGTCAACAATAGATCCATTATTACCTCTCTTCTTTGGTTGATGTTACTGCTCCCCCAAATAGTGTGGTGAGCATTAGCATGCATACCTAGGATGAGTTCTAATTTCTCATTTTTACAATAATTAAAGAGCATAGTTAGGTTGGGTCTATTACCTCATATAGTAGGTATCCTGAAGCTACTATAATATTTTTACCATCGCTTAGTGTTACTCTAATAATAGTCAAGTGTGCACTTGATAGATTAAGTACGAGGCTAGCTTTAACTTTTTCGTTAACCAAAATGCAAATTTTTGGTTTATTTGCTTGTTTATGAAACAGTTTAAAATTCCTTAGGTTTAGCCCCTTAATCTGGTCACCATTTATCCATGGTTCCTGAATAAGTGCTATTTGTAAGGGTGTTGCATGCCTCTCAATTAGTAAGTAAATTAGTAAAAGTAATACACTACTGGCCCCCTTACTGTAATACAGATTTATTTGAGTGAATTGAATTCTATTGTCTGTGGGTCTAAGTTTTAGACCCTAGATTTTGTCAGCTACTGCTCCCAATTGATCTTGCGACTCCTGGTCTGCATTTGTTAACGTTGCTGTCTCTTTGCTAGTAGACGGTTCACGAAATGTCCTGTTGTTCGCATTGCAACTTTCAAACTAGACAATTCTTTTGCGAAGAGCCGCCAATTCACGCTCTTGTTCCGACAGGTTATCCGTAGGATCCCTGTTCGTACCAAGTTCGTTATTTAATGGTATTTGTATGTATTTATCCATATAGTTTCCACGAGTAGTCGAGAAATTAAGGTCCATCACTGCAGAGCTCGATACTGTGATAAGACTGTATACTCTATGGTGTGCTAGGTGCCATAGAGGATCCTAATGATCACTTTACCTTTCGACTAAATACCATGTGACAAGTTAGCAACCCTTTCACTTGATATGATTGAGTTAGAGGGCCTATTCGCTGTTAGCAAGCAGGTATGCCCAGGCCTACCAGTCCCAACTAGCCAAAGTCATGACCGGCTGAGAGCAGTGGTACGTATTGCCACTCCCACTGAATTAACTAAGGTCCACGGGGTTGTTAAGCCCGTGATCCTTACGAATCCCCTTGCGGGACTTAAGGAACTTAAACTGATTTATATTATTGAGTTTGTCACTGATCAATTTTTAATTTTTTGGTACATAGCTTGTTATTAATTCCAACTCCTCAAATTAAAATCAATGTTTAATCAAATTATAATACATCACTCAATTTGTTTTTTTTTTCAATTTCTTAAAATTGTTTATGTTATTTGTTTTTAAGTTTTGAATTTAGATCCCTGTTTTAACATTGGTAAAATTGTCTTTTCTCCTAAAGAAATTTAATACTTTAAGCATTTGTGTTGACTAGAAATTTAACACACTTATTCAAAATAATATTTAATTAATTAGAGTCAAATAGTAATTATCTCAGTATTCTCCTAAACATAATAAATCATGTATACGTCTTATCCACCCCGCCCATTATTTATATTCAAGCTGTTATAAAAGACTATTGTAGTAATAACTTATTCAATGCAATAATTGCAAACTTAACTTATATTAATAACCGGTTATATATTAGAAATTATAAATAATGTTTCTCTCTTGTATTAAGTATTAATAATGTCTAAATAACCGAAATTTTAAAAAACATAGAATTAATATTAAGTTTATTAAAAATATTTTTTTCGAGGGCTAAATGTAAAGTATATAAAAATTCATCTCACTTATATGATTTACTTAAATAAATCATATAAATAAAAAAATGTGTATATTACCCATAGTTATCTTATGACCAAAAAAGATCCTCCAACCTGTGAATCCTGTAATACACGACTTACATTTAAACACATAATGTCAGAATGCATCAATTTCATGGAAAGCAAAAGACGGGCTGGATTACCAAAACTTCTTTCAGAGTTTCTTGGACTAGAAACTAAAGCAATTGAAGCCACCCTAAAATGTATAAGAATGTCTGAATTGCAAAACAAAATATAAAATACAAGTCTCCATAAATTTATTGTAATAATTCATGTATTAAATATTAGTAATAAATTGTAAAATACATAAATTGTAAAAACCTAAATTGTAATTGTTTACCCAATAGCCTATGTTACCTGTGTACATATATGATCAATCTTAACAACGAAACATTTTATGTTTATCTCTATATTTAATTAATAATGAATAACTTGCACTAGTATATTAGGAAAATAAATTAACTAGAGACACGTTATAAGTTTTCTTGGTTGTTCAATATAACGAATTTTTCTTCAAATTTCATTATAAGGGACTTATGTGAATTTAGTGGTTGGTGGCCACTTGAAAAACTATAGAGGGACAACAACGTAAATTTTTTTATGACACCTGAATATAAGATCACATACAATAATTCTTATGAGTTCCAAGTAATTAATTTAGATATATGTAAAAAAAAATCCAT